TTTTAAATTACTGCTCCAGTTTTTTTACAAAAATCATTAATTTTATCACTCGCATACATGCATTTACACCTTAAAGTTGAAGATTCGAGGTATTTACTTTCTCGAATAGGTCACCAAGTAGCTCCTCTATATCACAAATAAACCATCTCGAAACTTCTCGGCTTCCGGTTGGTTTTCCTCTCCTACAGAAATGGAGAATTTCTCTCTTAGTTCATAAACACGTTAAGAAAATTCCTCTCTTGAATATCGTCTTGACTTGCAATAACATATTAACACTCAATGTATTGCTCCTATGTCTTTACTATGTGCAGAAAAAATTCTGGGTTATTCTTGATTCTTTGTAATAGGTATGGTTTGTAATCAAGTTCATAGCGCTCAAGATACATTATTATTGCATACATTGCTATTGTACGAAATAAGAACTAGATGAAAACTACGAGTGAAAATTGAGTCGCAAATACTGAAAGGTAGAGAACGTCTGCATTAATGTGTGCAATTATATCATTTGTAATGCTCCTGGAACATAACCCAAGGGATTATATTTCACGGGTTTCATGAGGTAAAGTAGGGTGAGCAACTTTTTTTAAACTGGTGAATGTAATCATAAAAGTGATGCAACAACCTGTGTTAGGCGTAGATTTTTAGCATAAAAATTCTATCGATTTTCCAGGGCGAACAAATGTCCTTCTTCAGGAGCAAAGAACTCTGCAACTCAATTTTCTTTGCTTCCGCTGAAGAGAGGCTTTGTTCGCCCTCGAAAACGATAGAAATTCTGTGCTAAAAATCTACGTCTAACACAGGTTGTTGCTTCATTTTTATGATTTATTCGAGGCGTACTTCTCTTCTGTCTTGGCGGATGTAATTATTTATATTCCTAATTTTTAGAGATTTGATTGATTTCTATTGATTAATGTTTCATATTCTGACTAGTTATCGCTTCCAGAAATTAAACAAAAATCTAACTAGAACACAATACAGAAGAAATAAAGTGGAAGTAAAATGTTTTATTAAGGCTAAATCATTTTGTACAAATAAAATTTAACGAATACTATTTACCACTAATTTCGGGGCTTCAAGAAGACAAATATATAAATCATTAAAGCAAGAAATGTGACTTTCCCATATTAAATTGTATCCGGATTTCAACCCTTCGCTTCTCCAGATAAAATTCACTAGCAAACTCACAGATAGGCTGGGTGAGGCGCTTCCTCTCTAATAACACATTGCACAGAATAGAAACAACAACGCTACACTTTATAAACTAAAAATTCACTCGTTATTTAAATTCATCTTAATTTGCGTTATGGTATTGGTTGACTGAAGAAATAGAGCTTTAGCAACAGAATTTTGTATAAAATAGTATGTTGGGTGAAACAAAAACCTTATGAATGACCAATGGCTCAGAAAGTTTTATAATATCCTCTTGTATGTTACTGTGTCTTATCGTAGACATAATATCCTCTTGTACGTTATTGTGTCTTATCCTATACATTTCACCATACAGAAAGTCATTCGCTCTTTGGAAACGATTTTGGGAATTAGATTTTATGCTTAAACGGCGTATTTCTTGCGATTTGCTTCTATCTGATAGCCTCGACTAGTGGCTATGAATCTAGCTCGATTTTTCTTTGACAGTAAACTTTCTCTTAGCAGCGTCATTTTAATTTTATCCGGCTCATCTTAAGTCGTTTTATCAAGTCCGTTCAGTGTTTCTACATGTTGTTTTTCTACGGCTTGCTTTAACAAACCTAACAGACAAAAGATCATAGAAGAGCTTCAGGTGCTTCTATAGGTATTTCATTAAATGGGATACATGTTATTCTTTTTCTGATTCGCATGATGAATATTCTGTTAATACTACAGTGTATTAATTTTTACTTTACTTGATTCTTTTGTAGAGACATTAGGTTATTTCGAAGCAGGTGAGATGAAAAATGAGCAATGCTCTTGTCGGCATTCGAACTATGGACCTCTGTAATATATGTCGAGCGTGCTGACCACTACTCACGAAGGCATGCTAAGAAGGCGGGAGAAATACCTTATACGTTTTTTTAGCATTAATTTACCGTTGTGATAAAAATACTTCGCTTATTGTAAATATTGTTGGGAGTGCATTGACAAAGCCATTTTTTACGTTCATTTTCGTCAGGTGAGGAGCAAGAAGTTGATAATTTTTATTACAGTCGCATAAATATAGCCATGCGTTATCGAGTGTTACCATAAATTTCCATTTATCGAAAGCTAGGTGTTTTTAATATAGTTTTCTACAATTTGGTTTTATTCCGGCAATTTGCTTTAGAGAAAGCAGGTAAATTTTAGGTTTTAAAAATTTTTTTTCAACTTTTAATCTTTCTGGGTGAGTTCACTTAAAACGAAAGAAGATATTCTCAGTTCTGGTGCAATAACTCTTTTAAGTCGGTGAATTTTCCTTCAAGATTAGAGACTTCATTTTCTTGATATTTCCCCCCACGTACGAAATATCATTGGCTGGGGTTCAGCGAACATTTTTCCATTTCTACTTTCAGCTAGACGCTTTTTGTCTTTCAAATTTAATATATTAAAAATATGTTTCCTTGAAATGCAATAATCTCGACTTTTAGCCTCTTTACATTTTATTGATAAGAATACGTTTCTTCGAAAAGTGCATTTCCGTAACCTTCGAGAACCATCTATCAATTTTAGGATCTATTTCCAAAATTAATCCCTTATTCTGTATTCCACTCAAAAAACAGGACAAATCTTTCCTCAAAAGGCTAAGGAGAACATTTAAATAAAAAGCCGTTTCCATAAACTGCGAACGGCCAAATGTATATATTCTTACAGCCATTCAATGTAAGTAGGTTATAGCTGCATGTTGCCAGATGTGTAATAGAAAACACCTGCATACATACAATGCCTAAGATAATATTAAAGAATGCGACCATTTGCCTATTATTCAGCTTTTAACCCCTTTCGAAGCGTTCTGTCACTTTTCAGTGGTAGACGTGGGGGAAAATAGATGGTAAGTCGATGATGTTCCTGACCTCTATCAACAATCAACATTGAAGAGTGTCTCTCAGCTTAAAATAAAAATTTGTTTACTTTACTGCTGTGCTAATTAGTTAAATCGTTTCAGGCTTGTTGAGGATTCGAAACAAATAAATCGGCGTTGTATTTAGAAGGAATATACTCTTTTATAAAGTCTGTTGGAAACGATAGAAATGATAGAAGTTAGCGAGCAAGTCTGAAATTGAAAATCCGAATAAAATATGAAATGTCAATGTTTCATTACAAAATCACGTTTACTCGTGTGTTGGCAATCGTTTTATGTCCCGTTAAGATGGAATGGCACAGAATTCAGTCAAGTGAGAATAGTAACTTACCAAGACTACGAATCATCATACCGCCCAAATGTTACTCGAAATCCAAAGAGTATTACGAAATTATGTAATAATACTTCAGGCTGGCCTGCTCAGAGAGAGGAGGCTTGGGATCTCAACAGTGCCTACTCGCCAATGCCCGAGCTGTCTGACATTTTATCAGTATCAATGTTAGGGATTGTAGAGTCACATCGTGCACCCTGATTCGGAAAACTATATGTTGCACAAGACTAAAGTCCCTGCATGCGTTTGGCGATTAAATTTGAAACAAAACAGTTTGTCAGTACGATGACAAATACTTCGGCTCCTTTGATGACATAAAGACATGACTCAACCCTGAAATGGTGCATAAAGTTACGCTTAAGGGCGCAGGAAATGCGCGACATATAGGTTTCTGAAGAAACCCTGTTTTGATTGAGCCTATGAGAGGAACGATTGTCGGAAGAACGCATTTCTTCATCGTCATATAGGTCCAGCACCTAATTTGATGGATTATGAGATACGATTGTGTACCAAGGTCGTTAACCATAAATTCGCGTCTAAATTCATTGCAGAGAGACTCCCATGGCAGTCTCCATCCCCAGCTATAGTTATTTGACTTAAAGTCCAGTTACATAACAGCTGCTACTTTTTTGATAGGCGAATGTTCAGGATGCTGATTTCTGCACACTTTCTACCTCAAAATGTTTCTGAAATTTTAATTAGTTTATTTTCCCATTTTAATATATTCTTAAAACAAAAATCATTCTTCTAAGTCCTTCCCTTCAGGATGTAGCAGTTTTAATGACCAGCAGTATAAATCTAAAACTGCGTAGTGATTAAATGGACTAACTAAAAAATACTAAGAAAATGTACATTGATTTACGAAATAATATAAGAAATTTACACAGACATGCAAAATACAAAATAAAGATGCAATAATATAAATCAACTATAAATAAATATACATTATGTATAGGAAACATGTAATGGAAGACTAAAAAATATTTACATAATTTCACTAATGGAATAAAATAAATTGTGTAATAACAAAATGATGAGAAGAAGGGGGTTAGTTAATTATAGCAGATCTTGTAGAAGTTATTTACTTTAAGGAAGTTGTCATCATCTCTAAGAGAAACTTCATCATAATCTCATTACACATGGGAAAAATTATGAAAACTTCGTATAATCGTGCCTTTCACCGGGACCTGAAGCGAATGAACTTTGGCAATTGATGAGAAAAAACAGAGAAAAAAATGTTATAGCCTTTTGAGAGTAAAATAATATGTTTTTGAAAATAATAAAGCCAGATTTTCTGATAAAGAGATTAAATGTGATGCTGTGTTTTTAAGACATTGCCTTTGCTCTTGAGAAAAGTTTTCGAACAACAAATTTTCAGGCACTGTATAAAAGATAAAATTTAGAATTTGAATTAAATTAAATCTTCCCGTGTAAACGCGAAAACTTTTCATAACAGTGATATTATTTTATTCATTGAAACAAATATTCGCGACCAAAGTTGTCTAACTAAATCGTAGCTTGAAGAGAGGGAGGTTTTCTTTAAAATGTGTATAAGTTATCCCTGTGAAAATGAAATAAAAAAGTTAAAGTGTAATCAATAATCAATAGTTAATAATAAACATAATTTAAAGTACTTACTTTGACTTTGAGAGTATGTCCTTGACGGCTGTTGGCTGTAAGAGAAAGAACAAATTAATAACGCCGACATAAGACTCAAAATAATTTTAAATATTTATAAAATTATATTAAAAATAATATTCAGCAATGCAGGAGTAAAATAATTTGGTGCATAATAATTTTAATAAATACTACTAATAAAAGAGCTTTAAAACTTCAATATTAAATTTTTTCCTAACATTTTAATTAGTATTCTTGAAAATTTAATTTTTGGACTTTTTTCGTGGAATATCAAAGTGCTTTTTAATTAAATTAACATAATGCATTTTTAGTGAAATTATTTTTTATGATTTATATGCGAGTAAAATGAATTCATATGGGTAAAAAATCTAATCTAATATTTCCTCTCTTGAAATATGCATAACAAGAATAATTTCTTCTGTAAACATAGCGGATACCAAAGTTTTTAACTATTTTAACTATTAGTTATTTTTCAAGTTCACTCGTTAGCTAATAATTTACTACTGGTGAAAATAAATATTTAATTTTGATGTAAATTAAGATGAGGGAAATTAACGCTATGAATACATATTTAGAAAGAACTCTGTCATTTAACAGACATGATATATAAGATTCATTTATGTTATTTCACATTACATTGTTTTTTTATTATTTATTTATTATGTTTTTCATGACTGACAAGGAGGGTAAAAATCTTTATTACAATCTTATTGATAGCACTATACATGAGGACTAAATTGATGATTTTAACACAAATTTACCTTTATTACAAGTATTAAGTTTCGTAATTTTCCCAATTTGTTATACATCATGGTTATTGAAATTTTACTTGCTTATTAATTAGTTTCTAGATAGGAAGATTACCACTTCAAGGTAATCCTCGCAAGATTACCACGGTAATCTTCTTTCCCAGTACAGTTTTAATGTTTATGAATTACTATAAGCATAATTCTTCTCTGCTCTGAGAGCTATGCGTCACCTATAAGACATTTATAGATCCTTAATAATCAGCGAATAACAGACAGAAGCGCATTGGTTGAACTATCTCCAAAGACTTATGCTGAGCCACTTAAGTAAAAATAATCACTTGTTTTCTCATATTTGTGCTATTTATGTGCAAGAAATCTAGTGTTCTTAAAATTTATATTTTTCTTCTAAGGAAACTAATGCAAGAATGTGATTGATGAACGATTATGAAGCGGTTAGGGTATACATAGTTAGAAGTGTTAATACTTAACTCCGCAGCAGTGAGTCAAATCCAGGCTATCGTCTGTTCAGGAGAGTCAACGCGCTCGTGGCCGAATTTCATCCTCATTGTAATGGATGTATACTGAAGTTGCTGTTCCTCATTTGAACAGTTATTGTGAATATGAAACTTTATGTTTTGCAAATATCCGTGATAAAAGCAACTTTTCATTTATTATGTTCCTCGCACTTACTGTATTTTTGCGTTCACATTTCACATGCTACCACTTATGGTTTGAAAAAAGTAGTTATTTATTACATGTTTGTAACACTCCTGGTTGTTACGACAATCAATTGTGTAACATCCTGTATAAACAGAAAACAAAATGCACAGGACATCAAGTACACTGAAGATCATTACTGCAACAGATGTCTGAACTTCAACAATATTTGGACATAAAATAATACCATAAATTGGATATCATAAAATGTTACTACATAATAATCGTTGATATTATAATTGAAACCAAAAAATAAAATCCCCTGCGTAATGATATGCTTTAACAATAGTACAACAAACACACATTTAAAAATGATTACACGAATAATTCCTCGTTATTAATTATTCATGGGTTTTATAATTTTCATGTAGACCTTCTGAAAGATATTTCTAATTTCTAAGCTCATCCTAATTCTTATACACAATTTAGGGGAAAACAAAAGGTCTGTAGTATAAAACTGGCTCTGAAAATGCGATGAATATGGCTTAGACCTGTTTCACTCGATGAAAAAATCGATATGATTATTCATATCATAGCCAGTATAATCATCGATATGATTATTAAAATCTTGTTAGGCAAAAAAAAAAAAAAAAAAAAAAAAAGTCTGACGTGTACACCACATGATTTCCTTGTACGGAATATCAAATTATACCCTTTTATTTATTTATTTATTTATTTATTTATTTTTGTTGCATTTAAATTAAACGTATTTCCTAGAATTTTATTAGAGATATATTTCTCATTCAATTAATTCAATTCTTACTTCTCAGCAAGGCAAAAATACATAAAACTCAAAATATCTTCACTAAAAATTGAACGAAAAAGAAAAACGTAAAACACTAAATACAGTTAAAAAACAATTTTTATAATTAAACTTAGAGTTTCTACGCCAAAAACAAACAATTCGGCCAGCAGGGAAGAAGGCAGATTTTTCGGTGCGCAAAACTAAATTTTTCCTTTTGGTTCCTCTCTGTAAAAGGACACTGAAGGTGCAGACTTAATTCACTATTCTGCTGTGCTTCAAATGTAAACAAATATAGCTGGTATGGTAAGACAAATTAGGCTTAGAGGCACTTAACAACTTTTAAATTGTTGATAATTCTACAAATATTCCATGCAAATTAACTAAAGGCACAATAAACCTTAACCGGAAGGAAACAACAACATAATTTAATCATTTTGAAATCAAAAAATGGATTAAAATTATCAACATATAAGAATTAAAAAAATGAGCTCACTGAGCCGAGTAACAGAGTGGGTATATATACATATACTTTTGGTGCGGGCGATTTCAACCAAAAAGGGAGGTGGACAACTATATGTTATTGCAGTCCTATATACAAAATTTTAACGTTCTGAGGCTACTCGTTTTTGAGTTATGCGAGATACATACATACCTACGTACGTACAGACGCCACAAAAATTCTCTTTTGAATCCATTTTTTTCGTTTAAATATGATGCCCGAAAATTTTTGCGATTACAATACTTCATTTACTTCGTACAAGGAAGTAAAAACATATATTATGCGGACACTACATGAGTATCTTTGAAATATAACTACTTTACAGCGGTAATGTAGTAGTAGTAGTAGTAGTAGTAACGGAGGACGTGGGCACCATCCCTCTACCATTACGGTTAATCGGTTCTGCCCACGTCCGCCCTTATCTAGTAATTATTAATAAATCAAAGGTTTTTACATTGCCATATAGTGCCATATAAAAAAATAAATAAAAATAAAAATCTTAAAATAGTATTTTATAGTCCTTCATGAAGTGTATCTTTGTAAGTAATTTTTTATAAAATGTCGAAATTCGTCCTTAGTAAAAGACGTTTGAAACATATTCCCTCGTTCTTCTTCAAGAAGTTCTCTTTCGTTCTTCTTCTTTTCTTCGTTCTTCTCTTTCCTTTAATCTTCCTTTCATTTAATCTTCGTTAAATCTTCCTTTCTTCTATCTTAATTTCTTTCCTCCATTTTACATGTATTTTCTTCTTATATATCCTTTATCTTTTTACTTAATATAGTGAATAAGAAATCCATATTTATGAATTACTTGTTAACATATTCTTTCCACCTTCTACAGCGGTAATGTAGTTGTATTTCATATCGTAAGGTAAAAAAAAAAAATAAAAAAAAAATAATGGTATAGTTGTTAAGAGAGCTTGACTATGATACTGAAGGGCCCGGGTTCGTATCCCGGAGAAATCATGGATGTAAAAATTGTCTGTTCCTTCATAGGAGGCAATGGTGGCCCACCCATTAGTTTCCTCCATAATAAAGACACCACCGATCTGGCCTTAGGTGTGGCCGGCAAAGGCAAGTGCCCGCCATTAGGGTAAAAAAAAAGCCAAAATTAATATTTGTGACTAATATACAGTTGTTCGTTAAATGCAATAGTTGAATTGTTATTACCTTACGCAGATATACAACGTGTGCAAAGTGCAATCCAAGCAAGTCGAGAGAATTCCGCATTACAATGATAAATATAAAGAATTTCCTTTTTAGAATGACAGTAATACATTGTTAGATATTTGCAATAATGAACTGATACTAAATAGCGTTAGATATTTGTAACAATGAAATTATATTAAATATTATTAGATATTTGCAACAATGAAATGAAATATTAAATATTGTAAGACAAATTGCATATATATAAACTATATAAAATATATAAACTCTTATTGCTGTCTAACCACACTAGCAAGAGCTGTTTGGCTTAGAGCCATAATGGATCAGTTTAATTGAAGGAGTGTGGGTGAAAAGCGTGGGCATTTTGTAACAGCTTTAAGATCGTTATTAATCTCTCGTGCATTTGAAATAAAATAATAATAAATAATGTACCGGTTACTGGCAGCATTGAAACGCAGGGCTCGAGAGCTGCATGCATTTTCTTGCACGAAGCAAGTAATTATTTTTTTTTTTAAATAAGTTTTTATACCTTTTATTCTATTGTTTGTATGTCGCCATTTTTTAATGTAAAATAAAAGTTATTGCTGTGTTCCATCATTGGAGTTTACTTCAAATTGTTTAAGAAGTATCACAGGGTGTGGGTGAAAAGCGCGGTTATTGTTTCCTCTCAGAGGTAGGGGGTCATTTGCTTTTCTTACAATCGTTGAGCATCGCTGTTACTGACCTTCTTTTACTTTCAAAACTTCATTTTTACGATGAGTTCTAGTGTTCCAGAAAACTCTAGAAATAAAACTTTCCGCAGGGATTTTAAGAAATTAGTGTATAACGTGATTAAAGTTTGTGATGAAGAATCACAATTAGGAAGACTGACCATCCCAGTTACGCAGCCAACACGCAGAGCGAATAAGATGACTGGCGTTTCTATTGCCAGCATAAACAGAATTCGTAAAGAATCTGAAAATGACGAAAATGTTGAATTTTCTTCCTCTAAAAAAAGAAAAGAGAGAGAAATTGTTGTAAGTACAGGCTTAGATAATTTTGATTTGGATATTTTAAGACGAGCAGTTCAATACTTTTATGTCAAGGAAAAGAAAGCTTCCTGTATTAAAAGACACAATCAATTTTCCTTGGCAAAAAGAAACTCTAAGAAAGATTCTCCGA